GTTAGGATGTGGTGGAGAAGAGAGGAGATGGTCTACTTTGAAAGGGGAGCTCTCCCCATGGAAGGGACCCTGTCTGGAGGGACTCTATCTGGACCAGCAGGCAGAGGACTGAATAAAAGTGTTAACCCCTAGGAAAGGCTGTCCCCCAATATCCTGAACCTTCCCATAGCAAAAATAGGGGTTCCTTGCAGTTTCTTAGCTACTGAGCCATTATAATTCCAGCAATCAGCTGGGCCCGTCATCGGGAGGCTGAGGCAGGAGGATGACAAGTTCAAGACCTGAGCAACTTAGTGAGACCCTGCATCAAAATAAAGTGAAAAGAGGGCTGGGGGTGGTGGTTAGAGCCTGTGCTGTTCAGCCCTCTGGATTTAAAACCCGACACTGGAAAAAATTTTCGAAAGATAAAATGAGACAGTAGCTGCTGATGTTCTTTAAGGATTAAACATAGAAAATCAGGGTTAGTGAAGGCACCCACCCCTCTCCTCCTCCAAAGATGTTGCTCCCACAAAAGGGTGGTCTGTTTTAAAAAAATTTTCATTTAGTATTTTTATTATTTAATGTGTATGAGTGTATTACCTGCATGCATATAAGTACACCCATATCATGCAATGCCTGTGGAGGTCAGGAGAGGGTGTCGGATCCCCTGGAAATGGAGTTACAGACAGTTGTTAGCCACCATGTCGGTGCTGGGAATTGAACCCGGGTTCTCGGCAAGCTCAGCCAGTGGGCTTAACCATTGAACCATCTTTCCAGCCCCACAGTGCATGGTCTTATGTAGCCCACACTAGCCTCAAACTCAATATGTGGTTGAGGATGACCATCATTTTTTATTTTATTTTTTATTATTTTATTTTGATCTTTTTGAGACAGTCTCCTTGTAGCCCCAGCTGTCCTGGAACTTGCTGTGTAGACCAGGCTGGCCTCAAACTCAGAGATCCGACTGCCTCTGCCTTCCAAGTACTGGGACTAAGCGTATGCCATGTCTGGCTCTATGACCTTGAATTTAAAAAAAAATATTGTTTTTTTGAGACAGGTTCTCCCTATGTAGACCAGGCTAGCCTTGCTCTCACAGAGATCTGCCTGCCTCTGCCCCTTGAGTTTTGAGACTAATGGCATGCACCACCATGCCTGAGACAGGGTCTCATTATGTAGCCCTGACTGAGCTAGAATTAGATATGTAGACTAAGTTGGCCTTGGACTCAGAGATCAGCCTGCCTGCCTCTGCCTCCTAAATGTTGGGATTAAAGGGGTGTGCTACTACATCTAGCTATTTTTACATTTAATTATGTCATGTGTGCCTGTATACACAGATGAATGCAAGTGTCCACACAGGCCAAAAAGTGTCAGATCCCCTGGAGCTGGAGTTATGGTTGGTTGTGGGCAGTCCAACATGGGTGCTGGGAACTGAACCCAGGTCCTCTGCAAGAGCAGTATGTGCTCTTGACTGCTGAGCCATCTCTCCAGCCCCTTATTCTCAATTTCTGATCCTCTTTGTCCTGCCTCTACCTCCAGAGTGTTGGGATTACATGTATGTACCACCATGCCCAGTTAATGTAGCTCTGAGGACTGACCCCGTACCTTTGTGTATGCTAGGCAAGCACTGTAGCCACTGAACGTTCTCCCCAGCCCCACCCATTGCTTTTTGAATAGAGTTGACACCTGTCACCAGCTCTGAAGTTTGGATGGGCTTCCAGGGACATCCAGAGAAGTTGGACATTTGATCTCCCAGGGCTGTGCCAGCTGTGGCTGAATTTGGGGGTAGGCTATCAGGGATCCTCCACACCCAGCCAGGGAATTCCAAGCAACAAGTACTCAAAGCCCTCTCAAGAAGTCTGGGATATATATGTGGTGGGCAGTACCTATCTCTTTTCAGCAAACCTGTTTTTTGAGAGGCTAGCAGAGGCTGCCCTTGAACTTGCCATGTTGCAGAGGATGACCTTGAACTTCTGATTCTCCTGTATCTACCTCTCAAATACTGAGATATCAGGCATGTACCACCACACCACACAGGGTTTATGCGGTGCTGGGGGTGGAACCTAGAGCTTTGTGCATGCTAGGCAAGCACTCTACTGAGTTACATTCCAGCCTCCTTAATAGGCCCTAACTGTGTAGTCCAGGTTGGCCTTGAACTCTGAGGAATCCTCCTGTCTCAGTCCATAGTGCTGGGGTAACAGGTATGCACCACCACACCTGGCAGCAAAATTTCCTTCAGTACTTACTAAGAGCTGGACACTGAAGGCTGGGGTATATACTACAATACACCAGAGAATCATGGGACCTGAGCCAGACATGGTGGTGCAGGCCTGACATCCTAGCACTTGGGGGGCTGAGGCAGGGAGATAACCAGTTCAAAGCCAGTCTAAACTATACAGTAAGACCCATTCTCAAAACACTAAAATAAATATATGAAACTTGGCCCCTCTGAGGCATGATCTAGTGGGGAAACTAAGGCTGTGACTTTCTTTCCTCAGTCTGTGTTGCTGAGTAGACTTAAGTGGTCCAGAGAAAGAAGCAGGAAAGTTCCTGGTCATCACTGTAGTCTTGGGGCCACCAATCATAACACATTCCTGGTACAAATGAATAAACTTGGAACACACACACACACACACCTGGGCTTCCAATCAGGGTAGCTCTGTCAGTCAAGTTCTGAGTCTTCTGGGGCTGGCAGCTGTGACAGATCACATTGCATGGCAGAAATTTTCAACAGAGAGTTGGGTCCCACTTCCTGGTTGCATGACCTTGGGCAAAGCACTTCCCTTCTGGGAATTCATTTTTTTATGTTTTCACTATATGAAGATCTCTAGATGGGGGATAACCTCAGGTCTCTCCCCTGTGGGTAAGTTATGGGTCTGAGACAGGTTCTCATGTAGCCCAGGCCAGCCTAGACTGCTAGCTGAAGATGACCCTGCATTTCTGATCCTCCTGCCTCCACTGCTAGAGTGCTGGGATTCAATGTGCATATCCCCTTACCCAGCTCCCGGAGGGCAGTTCTGATTAGAAACATACTTGACCCTGGATAACCTTCAGAGTGTAGCTCAACCCACTCAGGCCAACTCCACAGAAATGAGGTATGAGTGTGTACCTTGCAATTGCTCCACATACCTTAGTGGGCTGTGGACCTCCCCAGTGTGACAAAGCAAACATTCAAGTGTTCACTTCTGCATGAATAGTCCTTGTTTTTGCCAAGTCACTATCAAACTGCAACAGCGGGCACTTCTGTCAACTGTTGCTCTCTACTTTTCTCATAGTGGTCCTATGAAGTGGGGCCTATAGCATCAGCATTTACATTTTTTAATTAATTAATTAATTAACTCGGTTTTTTTTTTTTTTTGGTCTTTTTGACACAGGGTCTCCCTGTAGCCCCAGCTGGCCTGGACCTTGCTATGTAGACCAGGCTGCCCTCTAATTCACAGAAATCCACCTGCCTCTGCCTGGGACTAAAGGGGTGTGCCCAGCTAATTAATGAATTTATCGTGTGTGTGTGTGTGTGTGTGTGTGTGTGTGTGACAGTTCTGAGGTCAGAGCCATCTCACTGACCCTGTCAGAAGTATCTTAGAGAAGAGGAAATGGAGGCACTGAGAGATGATGCAATTTACACTATGTCAGGCAGCGCAAGTGGCAAAGGTGGGCTGTGAACCAGGATCTGGCTTGTTTGAATCTGAGCCCATAATTCCTGGACTTGCAATTTTTTTGTTTTGTTATTGTTGCTGTAGTTCTGGGGACTGTACCCAGGGCCTCTCAAATATGAGATACATACTTTTATCACTGAGCTGTATCCTTAATCCTCATAATTAAAACTAAAAAAAAAAAAAATTAAGCCAGGTATAGTGGCACACAGGGATATCTCAGCAGTGGGGGAGGCGAAGGAAGGAAGACTGAGTTCCAGCCCACCCTAAGTAGCAAGACCTTGTCTCAAAAAAACAAAAACCAAACTAAACCAAACCAAACAATTAAAATGTATGTTTAAGCAAATATTATAGGCATTACCACTATGAGACTACGACAAAATAGATGTCCCCAGTCAGTCCTTTATTCAACACACATTTACTAGGTACCTACTGTTTGCACCAGGTTTTCCAAGGCCCTGGGGACACAGAAGGGAATTTGACACCTGAAAGTGAAGTCCCAGGCCTGTGCAGCCAGGGAGGGCAGGCCTGGACCGTCTGTGGACTTGCGGCGCAGGGCGCACAGTAGCCGCTAACCAAGCGCTCTGCGGATGAAACTGTGAGTCCGAGCGTCGCGTAGGCAGGCCAGGCGTTCCCAGCTCGCTATGGCCGACCCCACCAAGGTGTCCACGGATTCTGGTCGGCGCGGCTTGCCAGGCCTGGGGCTGGCAGACACGGAAGCAGGGCTGACCTCGGTCCCTGCGCCACAGCAGCTCGGCATCGGGGGACCTGATCACGCCACGCCTGGAGTCCTGGTCACCCCCAAAGTCCCCATCGCCTGGCACCCACTCCGTCCGACGCGGGGCTCCTCCACTGTCCCTCCTGGTCCAGCCCGCATCGTGTCATCTTTGCACGTTTTCTGCGGTCCCCAAGGGAGCATCCTCCTGCAGAGCCACCATCCCGAGCCTGGACGCTTTACGCTCCCTTTCTAGGCCCGCTAGGCGCAGGGATCCCGACACACACGAACCCGAAATCTCCGCTTCCACCATCACCACTCGGATCCCAGCTCCAAGTAGCCGACCCACTGCACCCGAGCCGAGCAAGGCGCACTAAGCAGCCCCAGCCGGGCCAGGAGGAGGAGGCGGCACTGCAAAGCTGAACTCCAGCCCCCAGAGCGCACGTCCTTCCATTGGCCAAGAGACTCGCCGCTCTACCTGTTCTCGCTACGATTGGTTCTCCGTAGGCTCGAGGCGGAGCCTCCTGGAACTCCACCCCCTGTCCGGGAGGAGGGAAAGAGGAGGAGGAAGAGGAGGAGGAGGAAGGGGGGGCGGGACACAAAACCTACAAGGTTTTTTTTTTTTTACATTTAATTAAAAAAAATTTTTTTTGCATACCCGAGGGGCGCTCCCCGGAGCGGGGCGCGGGGCCGGGGCCGCGCGAGGGCCGGGTGGTTGGAAGGGCGGCAGCAGGCCCGGGCGCAGCGGAGCCGGGCCCCGCCATGCGATCAGGCAGTGCGCTGACCGGCCCGGCCGGCCGGCCCCTTCTGGGTCCTCCCTGTGCAGCCCGTGCGGGGCCGTCCCGGAGACCCCGCGCCGACGGCTGCTCAAACATCAGGGTGAGTTTCTCACAATGTAGCAATTTCTCTTTAAATCTCTTAACTCTCTCTACCTGCGAGTCGGGGCTGTGACAGGGCGCAAAAGCGAGGGGGGGAGTGGGGCTCGGCGGCGAGGGTGTGTGTGTTGGGGGGGAGAGCCGGAGCCGGGGCCGAACCCACTCCCCCCCGACACTCCACACACTCAGCCCCCCAACCCGGGCGCAGCGTCTACTGCCGCTGCTGAAGCTGGATTTTTTTTAAATTTTTTTTTTTCTTCTGGTGATCAGCGCCCACCACCATGGGCACCCCCCCATCCCGGGTCTCTCCCGCCACCCCCCCCGATCTTGCAAGGGGACACCCCCTCATTGCGCTTGGATCCCCGACCTTGCTCCTCGGTTCCCTCCCCGACCCTCCCGGGGATACAATGGAGCGGAGGAGAGGGGCGAGAGCGAACGTTCCACGGGGGGGAGGGGTGGGAGACCCCCCTCCTATCTGTTTGGGGGACCCCCTCCCTTCGCCCTGCTCCCCGCCTTTTTTTTGGGTAGAGACGAGGGCTATGGCGGGGTGGGGGACAGCTGAGGCCTTCACCCCCCTCTCCTGTCGCATGTCCCCTGCGCCCCCCTCCCAAGTCTTTCTTGGGGTGACGGGGAGAATCGGGGGGGAGAGCTCTGCAAGCTTCCGGGGCAGGAATGGCTGGGGATGAAGGCCACTGGGTCTCCCGATCTCCTTCGCCTGTAAACAATGAAAGGAGGGGACCCGCGCCCCCTCAGCTGGCTGGTCCCGCAGGCGGGCTGTTTCTTGGGGATCAAAGGGAGCAAAAAGAGGAGCCCCAACTCCTGTCACCTCCGGGGATTTGGGGCTGCCCTTGATCTGCAACTCCGTGGGCCTGGGAATCGGAGCCACCAGGCCCAGCCCGGGCACCGCGCTCCGGGTGGTGACCTTTAGACAAAGGCAGCCCTTTCCCCCGGGTGAGCCTGGCCGAGCCGGGCCCGGAGGCCTTCCCGGGTCCCTGCGGAGGGCAGCCAGGCCGCGGGCACCGGAGGGAGGGAGGAAGGGAAGGAGGGAGGATGGATGGAGGGATGGAGAGATGGAGGGATGGAGGGAGGAGGGAGGAGGCTGGGGACCATCTGGTTTTCTCATCGCCTTAGCTGCCCTTCGGCTGCTTCCCCGGCTCCTGTCACGGGAAGCCGCGGGGAGACAAGGGACCAGGAAGCTGCCCAGCCAGGCCTTGGTCGACCGCCAGCCTGAGGACCCGGCGACGAGCCCCGGGAGGGCGCGGGCTCGGGCGCCAGCGGTGATTGGAAGGCTCGGTGGCTCCTTCCTCTCCGCGCCCCTTTGTTTTGCTTTGTGGTTCTGAGCAGCTGAGCGTCCCTGGAGGTGGGGTCAGAGGCTGCCCGGGTCAGCTCTCCAGGGGAAGTGCTGGTGACAGGGCCTTCTGATGTCCCCAGCTTGTGCGCTTGCAGTGGGTACCCAACTCCATGTCTAGACCCTCATCCCCTTTTGTCGTCCCCTCCCCACCCGAGAGTGTGAGAAAAATCTGAACGTGTGGGGTACACCCAAAACTCCAGGCTGGGATTCAAGATCAGCTCTTTAGTGCTCATCCTGTACCCCGCACCTGCGCGCTGTGTGTGGTGGGGGGGCTCGGTCGACTCTGACCCCACCCCCAGATGAGAAAACGGTGGAGGCCACGCTCAGAGACCACCCCTTTCCTCTGCCCCATGGGACTTCTGGGCTTGTTTATCTCCTTCCCCTTCCTTGGTTGCTTTCCCCACCTCCCAGAAGCCGGAAATAACCGCTCTCTTCCCAGGGAGGCTTATGGATTGGTCACTGCTAAGTGCCTTCCACTTAACTATAGTCCAAGGAGGAAGTGGGGGGCGCGTTCCCATTTTTCAGGCAGGCTCACTGAGGCCCACACAGTTCTGAATCACAGTGGGCCCCAGTTCACCGCCACCTAGGGTTTATCAGGCCTACCTCAAAACTGATTGACTGGCTGTCTTCTTTTGTAGCACTTTGTCCCTTTGACTTCAGTGGACCTGAGGTTTCTGGAAGGATCTGCCAGATGTTTTCTCTTGAGAAGTGGTGTGGGGGAGGAAGGGGAGGGTGTGTGAGTCAGGATGGGGGAGCCCAGGCCTGACTGGATGAAGGCTTAACAGTGCCTGGAGCAGATCCCAGTTACCGACCACTTCTCCACCTGTGCTGGACCTGGCTTGATTGCTGTCACATGATTGCTTCAGAGCGAGAAGCTGACCAGTTTGGGAGTGTTGTGGTTCTGTCCCTCTTTCCTCTGACCTGAGACCCACATGACACCTTGTTAGGGTTGGCAGAGAACTTGGTCTCAGGCCCCCTGTGACCTTAGGCAGGTCTTGAACCTCGCTTGGCTCAGTTTCCTCTGCTGCACACGCGGGGTGGGGGGTGAAAGTTCTTTGAACTGAACTGACCTGGAGGTGGGGAAAATGGTAGTCAATGTGTGGTTTCTATTTAATCCTTGAGCCTTCATGGGTGCAGATGCCCAGAGGTTTGGGGGAGGGGTGTTGGGTACCAAGGTGAGCAGCTAGCCTCTGCCCTACAATTCCCTGCAGTGAGAAAACAGAATTAAGAAATGCCCTTACTAGGTACTTTAATCCCAGCACTCCAGGAGTTCGAGGCCAACCTGCTCTATATACTGAATTTCAGGCCAGCCAGGGCTACATAGTGAGAGTCTGTCTCAAATGCCCCAACTCTCCTGCTCCACAGCTGGGCATGGGACCCCCTACCTCCCTTCCCCCCATGGATGGATGCTAGGGGGGGGCATAGTTTATCCCATAAGGGATATAATCTCAGTGATGTCTTTTACAAAAAGGTAAACTGAGGCTAGTAGTATGTGCTTCATGGCTAAGCCAGGACTCCTACTGGCCTGGCTACAGGGGCTGGAGATGGGGGGAGGGGCTCTGCTTGCATTGTAGGGCCTGATTACAGGGATGTTCAGGGGCCTGTACTCCCCCACACTCCTTTAGCTTGGTGAGGTAACCTATATAACTCACAATAACCCTAGGGGGCACACCAGGAGGAAATTCAGTGCATCCTGGGAGGAGGTGCTCATTTGGGTGGGGGAGGTGGGAGAAACTTCAGTTAGACCCAAATCAGCAACAGTTCTACATCCTGCCTGCTGCCTTCCTTCCCAGAGGCCTCTGGTGCCTTGGTGAACCTACCTAGGATACCGGCTACCTGAACTTCCAGCAAGGTCAGGGATCAGCATGGAGCCTTTGGGTCCCTAGGGAGTATAGGGAGAGGTTCTAGGGTGTGTGTAGGGGGGTTCTCTAGCCCCAGGGCCAGCTGCCAGCCTTCCAGGCTGACTTCCCCCTCCTCACTCCCCCAGGCTTCCTTGACTCTCAGTCTCAAGAATGCGGAGGGCTGCTGCTGGGGGAGGTTAATTGGAAACAGGAAAACATGGCATTCCTAAGCAGGAGCCTGGGTTGGAAGCAGCCAGGCTTCCATTTCCCCTCTCCCACCCTGCAGAGCACAGACTGGGAAGGGAGGCCTGGATCATCTTGTCCTGGTGTCTCTTGGGTCTCCTCCCTGACTGGGTGCCCATACTCAGTGGATCCAGCCCCAGACACCGAAATTAGACATCAACCTTGCTCACAGCTCCCTCTCCCCCAACAGGGCTACCCCAGCATTTAATCACCCTATCTTACCCTCCTGGTTCATTTTCTGACCCCATCCATGAAGAATGTACCACACACACCATGGGAAGTTGTGAAGCAGTGGACTGAGTGGTCCCCAGGGATTCACACCCCCCCCCAAGTTCCTTCTCTGTAGCAGTCCCTGGTCCCAATTGACTGAAGCCTTTGTGTTTCAGGGACATGCAGACTCCCCCATGAGAGGGCCTGAAGGAGCTTTCTAAAGGCATTTCTAGTTTGGTAACAATTGAGTTTTGTGTGAGTTGTGTGTATTCATGGGTGGGGGTGTAACTGCAGTCAAGGAAAGTGCAGTGCGCTTGTTTCTGCTGTTGTTCCCAATTAAACTTCCTGGGGGGCTGTAGTGGGCCAGGGCCCTGGGGATCAGTATTTGGAACCCTGGCCTGCAGTTCAGGCTCCCTGCATGCAGGGTTTGATTACTTCTGTCTGGGTGGCCTGAAAACTCCAAGGAGAAAGCTTTAGCTGGCTCTCTTGCCTCCTCCGCCCCTCTCTTTGTTTTGTTTTAATTTGTCTATGTGTGTATGTATGTGGGCACTTGTGTGGAGGTCAGTGGACAACTTGGCAACAGTCAGTTCTTTCCTTCCACTACGTGGGCCTGGGGATTGAACTCAGGTCTTCCATCATGCTTGGCTGCAAGTGCCTTTATCGTAACCCTGAGTCATCACATTAGGCCCCTTGTCTCTCTCTTTTTTTTTTTTTTTTTTTTTCGATGATAGGGGCTCATGTAGCCCAGGCTATCATCCAAGGATGATCTTGAACTCCTGGTCCTTCTGCATCCACCTCTAAGTGCTGGGAATCCACCATACCCAACTTCTTTCTAATAAGTACATAAAGGACAAATTCTTAAATTTGGGAGGAGGCTGGGCGTGGTGGCACTTGGGAGGTTGAGGCAGGCTGATATCGTTGAGATTAAGGCCAGCCTGGTGTACTCCAAACAAAGAGTCCAGGCCAGCTGGGACTACTGGGAGACCTTATCTCAAACAAACAAACAAAAGAGACAAAACTTGTGGTTCCCTCCGGGCACCATCTGCCTCAGCATCCTCAGAGGCCCAGGCAGCTAACTCCTCAGTTCTGAGGTTGTGTTTGCTTTTTTTACCTTATCTCCCTAGAATACCTTGTGTATATACTCTTTCCTTTTCTGGGCTCCACTGGTATTTCACTGGCTGGATAAACCTTTCTTGTGGTGAGGATGGAGGTGTGTCCTAACAGTCCCACTTGCACAGCACATGTCTTCTTATGGGACATGTGTATGCTCTGGGAGCTGGCTTTCTGAACCAGGGCCTGGGATTTGTCTCCTCGTGGCTTTCGAGGCATCTGGGGAAGTTGTTCTCCATCCTGACACCAGGCCTCACAACATCTACCCCTTCCCCTTTGCTTTTTCCTCCTGCGTGTGGCCTGCATCATGTGTGGAGGTGTGCAGGTCAGAAGTACGACTGTGAAACCCGACCATGGGATCAAATCCCAGCTTGGCACCTTGCTCTATGAATGGGGCTTGCTGGCTCTGGCCCTGTGTCTCCCCCTCTGTGAGAGGGGTTCAATCCACTATCAACCTCATGAGGTGGCTATGTGGGGAAGCAACTCCGCTGAAGTTCATGAGTCGCTTTGCTAGTCAGTGTGCCTGGGATCTGTCCATCTTAGCCAGTTCCTTTCTTAGATGGCCTTTTCAATCCAGCTGGGCTGTGGAGTCCCATCTATGATGGACAGGCACAAAATAGAATGCTGATTTTCCCACTGCAGGGGATGGAACCCAGGGCTTCAGTGCATGCTAGGCAAATGCTCTACTACTGAGCCATCCATCCAGCCCCTCACTGGGGGATTCTAGGCAGCTGCTCTACCACTCAGCCACACTCCAGCTCCTCACTGGGGGATTCTAGGCAGGTGCTCTACCACTGAGCCGTGACCCCCAGCCCCTTACTGAGGATTCTAGGCAAGTCTTCTACCTCTGAGCTACATGTCCAGTCTTTTTTATTTTTATTTTGAAATAGACTTTCTTACATTGTAGCCCAGCTAGGTTCAAACCCATGATCCGAGCCACACCCAGCCCCTCACTGGAGGATTCTAGGCAGGGGCTCTACCACTGAGCCACACCCCAGCCCCTCACTGGGGGATTTTGTTTGTTTGTTTTGAGTTTTTGGAGACAGGGTCTCCCTACAGGCCACACACCCCCATCCCCAGCCTGGAACTATATAGACCAAGCTGGCCTCAATCTCCCTGAGATCTGCCTGTCTTTGCCTCTTAAATGCAGGGATTAAAGGCATGCACCATCACTCCCAGCTTTTTATGTGAGGCCTGGAGGTCCTCATTATTAGTGCAAGCACTTTTACTAACCCAGTTGTCTCCCTAGCCCCATGGTAAGCATTTGTAAAAACTTTTTAAAGTTTGCATTTTTAAAAGTATTTTTTTATTTTTTTTATTTTACGTGTATGAGTGTGTTGCCTGCATGTATGTGAGTGCACCCATGTCGTGCAATGCTGCAGAGGTCAGAAGAGGGCTTCGGATTCCCCTGGAACTGGAGTTAAGGATGGTTTGTAGCTGCCATGTGGGTGCTGGGAATTGAACCTAGGTCCTCTGCAAGAGCAGTCAGTGCTCTTAACCGCTGAGCCATCTCTCTAGCCCCTGCATTTTCTTTTATATGTTTATTTATTGTGTGTTTATGTGTGCAGGGGCATACATGCCATAGCACAGGTATGGAGGTCAGAGAATAACTTCCAGGAGTCAGTCAGTTCTGTCCTTCTACCACGTGGGACCTGGGGATCGAACTCAGGCTGTCAGGCTTGAGCCATCTCACAGGTGCTTTTTTTTTTTTTAATTATTATTTTTTTTATGTGTATGTGTGTATTGCCTGCATGTAGGTAAGTGCACCCATGTCGTGCAGTGCCCACAGAGGTCAGAAGAGGCTGTCAGATCCCCTGGGACTGGAGTTATGGACAGTTATTAGCTGCCATGTGGGTGCTGGGATTCAAACCTGGGTCTTTTGCAAGAACATTCAGTGTTCTTAACTGCTGAGTTGTCTCTCCAGCCCCCACAGGTCCTTTTTTTACAAATTAAAAAAAAAAAATGCTTCTGTGTGTGTGTGTGTGTGTGTGTGTGTGTGTGTGTGTGTGTGTGCGCGCGCGTGCACAAGCAAGCCACAGTGCATATGTGAAGCAGGTGAAAAGACAACTTGAGAATGAAGCTCAGGTTGTCAGTCTTGGCTGCAAGCCCTTTTAGCCACTGAGCCATCTTGCTATTCCTGGTACTCCTACATTAATGGAGGGCAGCCCACATGCTGGTTAAATACCATCCAGCCTCAGTTTCCTGGTTCATAACAGAACTCCTTTTCTTGGATGGCTGTAAAGCTTAAGTGACTGACTTAAAGCCAAGACTTCCAGCACAGGCCCCGCCTCTGAAGGAACCCCCTAGACTCACCGGGTTGTGATTATTTTCACTTTTTTTTTTTTTTTGTTTTTGTCTTTTTGAGACAGGGTCTCCCTGTAGCCCCAGCTGGGCTGAAACTTACTATGTAGACCAGGCTGGCCACACCTGGCTAATTTTCACTTTTGGAAAATAATTTGAAATTTGAA